AAAAGTTCTCACCACAAAAAAAAAGAAATCCTAACTCTGTGAGGTGATGGATGTGTTAACTCATCTTTAAAACAAAAGATATGGAGCACAGAACCCCCCTTCTCCCACTCCCATTGTTATCACCCTCTTCCCTAAAAATAACCATTCTCCTGACACAGAACACTGTAGATTAGTTTTGCCTGTTTTTGAACTTTCTATGAATGGAATCACAAGTTATGTGCTATTTTATGTCTGGACTCTTTAGCTAAATATTGTGATTCTGAGATTCATCCCAGTTGTTGCTTATAAATACAGCGTTAGTTTATTTTTATTGTATGGATATGCTGTAACTTATTAATCCATTCTGTTGGTGATAGACATTTGGGTTTCTGCTTTTTGGCTATTATAAGGAATGTTACTATGAATATTCTTTTGGTTTACATATTTATCTGTGATTATACATAGGAATGGAACTTCAGAGTCATAAATATACAGTCCACAGTGTCAGTAGACACTGCCAAATGGCTTTCCTAAATGATCATGCAAAATTACTTGCCCACAAGCAGTTATGAACATTCAAACACTTGGTCTTCTTCATTTTAGCCATTATGGTGGGCATGCAGTGGCATATCAAGGTAGTAATTAATGGGATTGAATACCTCTTTATATGTTTAATGGCTGCTTGAATAACCTCTTTAGTGAAGTGCCTGTTCAAATCTCTTGTGTATTTTGAAAAATTAAGCTTCTTTATTTTTCTTATCTCTTGATGGGAGTACTTGATATATTCTGAGTAAGAACACTTTGCCCATTATGGAAAATACATATTGCAGATATCTTCTTTCACTTCGTGAATTGACATTTACACTTTTAATGGTGTCTTTTGATAAACAGAATTTTTAAAAATATTTTTAATGGAGTCCAAATTATACATATTTTTCCTTTAAGATTGGCACTTTTTGTGCACTGCTGAAAAAAACTCTGCTCATCCCAGTCATGAACGTGTTCTTCCTCATGATCTCCTATGAGCTTTATTGCTTTGCTTATCACATATAGACCACTTGACTTTTGTGTAGGGTGTGCAACAGAGTCAAAACTTATTTTGTTCATGTGGATATTGTGATAGATTGTTTGTAAAATGGATGCATACTTTTAATTCTTTCACTCACATCCTTGGCAACCCCTACGCCTGCCTCGTTGACTCTGGGCTTAGCTGTGAACTGCTTTGGCCAAGGGGACGAGAGCAGACATGCCCAAGCATGAGCCTAGACAGAAGCACCATGGATGAGATTGGCCATGGAGTTTCAGCTCTTTAAATATGATGCTGATTGGAGCCAACTTGCACATCACAGTATTGATACGTGTGTTTCTGCATCTTTCCCCTCAGTGGATGATTCCAGCTCCCAGCCTGTGCACTTCATTGTTATTGACCAGGCAGGGACCTCATCCCCACTGCCATGTGCTTATTGTCTGTGGCTTTGTTGGCCAACACATGTCCCCTTTCCATCCCTCTTCACTCCTCTTTGCATTTGTTCCTGTTTTTCCATCTGAGAACATTTCCTTTACATCTGAGGAAGTCCCCCTAGTGTTTTGTTTCTTTGTTTTAGTGTGGGCTTCTTAGTGGCATATCCTATTTTGGTCTTTATTTTACACTTCTTCATAAAGGATATTTTAATTTTGAATAGAATTCTAGTTTAGCAGTTGCCATATGCCAGTCTTTTGAAGCTATCATTCCTATTTTTTTGACTTCTGTCATTTCTGTTGACAAGACAGCTGTCAGTCATTTGTTACTCTTTTAATGGTTACATGTCTCTTTTTTTCAGTTTGCTTTTGATACTTTTCCCTCTGATTTTGGTTTTCCATAGAAAACCATGTACCTACATGTGTTTTTCTTTTTTCTTTTTCCTGCTTTGTATTTTGGAACTGCTTAAATCTATGGTTTTTTGTCTTTCATCAGTTTTTGAACATTCTTAGCCATTTTATTTACAAGTATTGATTCTACCTCATTCATTCTGTCCTCTCCTTTTTGGATTCTAATTATGTAAATATTATAACTTTCTTTCTTTTTTTTTAATTTTTTTTAAGGAAGGTTGGCTCTGAGCTAATATCTGTTGCCAATCTTTCTCCTTTTTCCTCCCCAAAGGCCCAGTAGATAGTTGTATATCATAGTTGTACATCCTTCTAGTTGCTCTATGTGGGACACTGCCTCAGCACGGCTTGATGAGCAATGCGTAGGTCTGTGCCCAGAATTCGAACCAGTGAACCCCGGGCCACCTAAGTGGAGCATGCTAACTCAACCACTATGCCACCAGGCTGGCCCCTGGAACTTTCCACAATACACTATATGCATATTTTTGTATATATTCATTCTCTGGTGAAATTCTTCATCTTAACTGCTATTGTTTCGAATCTATTCATCACAATAATTTTAAATTCCATTTCTGATTACTCCAATATCTGGATTACCTCTGAGTCTACTTCTATTATTTGTATATTGTCTTGAATTTCATTGTTTGGTCTCATCCTCTAGTACACTTGGTAATTTTGAGTAAATGGAGGATATTGTTTATAAAAAATTTAAAGACAAAATAAAGTTCCAGATGATATTATCCTTTATTTCTAGCAGACAGGGTAGTTGCAGTGTATGTTGATCCATTTTGGGATTAAGCTGATGCAAACCTGGCAGTCAGTCTTTCTAAACTGGTCTATTCAGGTTAATTCTTCCTCCTAGAGTGTAGATCTGTTGTGGCTTCAGTGAGAATCTGTGATGTTTACCAGGGCCCCTCCTTTTTGGCAGAATTTCAATCCCAGTTTCCACCTCACGGCCCTACCAGATTGCCAAAAGCTTTGCTCAGCTTCTCAGCTTCTTAACTACTGCTCTCCCCTCTGCCACTTGGCCTCTTGGCAGCTGCTCATGACTCATCAAATTCCTTGAGCAGAAAAATAATGCTGAACGTTGAGTTCATTTCTGTGGTTTCCTTTGCTCTGGAAATTTTCATCCCTCCTGTCTTTTTTACTTTCATAGCTTTCTGATACCTGCAGAAGAATCAGTCTGATACGTGCTAGTACACCGTAGTTAGAAGTGGAGGTCCCCTTTGAATTAAGTTTTAAGGCTGAATAATAAATAATAGGTTACATTTATACAAAATGTAAAAATTCCTGAACCTGTGAACATTTGTTTTAATTTTTCAGTCTCTTGCTTGGGCCAATCAATTTAGCTGACTTTTCCTAGTTTCCTGTCAATGGAATGGGAATAATATTGCCAACCCTGATGTAACCTCAGTGAGATAATGGGGAACATCTAACTAGTATATAGAAATCATTTGAGATCCATTAGAGAGAAGTGTTATGGGATTCCAAAGAGGCCAAATGACTCCTGTCTTTGAGTGTTAATTATGCTTTTATGCATTTTTCTTTACTTATACATACACCCTTACATCATGATCATGTAGCAGTAATAGACAAGTCATTTATTGAACACTCACAGTGAGCCAGTCACTGCTCTTAGCACTTTCCTATCATTTGATTTAATCTATACTTCTTAGTTTGCTCTTAAAAGGCTTCTGACCTCCTTGCATGTAGGATTAATGTCTCATCCACAGTGACTGGTGCCATCCTTCATGTTTTGTGTATGTGGATACTAATCAGGAGCATGCATCCCTGGGCTCCAAGACTGTGGAATATGAGACTGAGGGCCTGGAGACTGGGGCCAAAATGATTCCAATCCAGGTGGACAACCACACAAAGAAAAGTTTGGGGCTGTGTGAGCAGATCGGCTGTTGTTCAATTTATTGTGATTACAGAGAATATTTTTTGACTTATTGCAATTTATAAGTAGGATTTTGTTACTATTTGCAAGCACTTGTCCCTCCTCCCTCAAATGCAAAAATTTTACCTAAGCATTTCCTTGTTTGTGGATACTCTGTTTGTGGTGGAAGGAATCATTAGTCAGTCTTTAGCCATCTGCTAGTGAATTTAAGCAGAGTTAATTTCCTTCTTGACTTGGGACTCTAGTCAGAAATTAGCCTGAGTGTAGAGCATTGCTGGACAAAATTATTGCAGTGTCCCATCTGGAACCTCTGGAAGCTGTAAGTTATGTGCGGGTGTCCCGTAGCCTAGTAAAGAAAGAGAGGAAGGAAGGAGGGAAGGAAGGAGGGAAAGAAGAAAGGAAGGAAGGAAGGAAAGAAGGAAGGAAGGGAGGGAGGGAGAGAGGGAGGGAGGGAGGGAT